CCCCCGCCAGATGCCCGTGAATCCCCTCTGCAGGTGTCAACACTCCCGAATGACACGGGACCCCTGCTGATCGAGGGCTTGGCACAGGGGCTCCAGTGAAACACAGATGCGTATCATAAGTCTTTTATTGGAAGTTTCAAGTATGTGTAAGTGTCCATGGTGATGCATGGTGTTCGATGAGTGTCCCCATCGCCCAGGACTGTGGTTATAGCACCGCTGATCAGTTACCCACAATTGGAGCAGAAAAGATGAGTCGCTTTTGCTTTCGAGCTATACTTTCAAAGGCCCAGATGCCCAACATGAAATGCCATGGAAAACACCTTGTGTTTCAAAGTCTTGAAAATACAATCGCGCTATCTTGAAAGGTAGGAGCTGGGGACAGGGGTAAAGTGCCAACTCTGAGCTCACCTGTTCGTACATGTGAGTAAAATGGAGCTGAATAGAGGCAGTTTGTTTAACTGGAAGAGTCTAGATATTCAAGTTTGCTGGAGAGGCCCTATGAGGAGGAGAAATGGAACCGCCGGACAGCCGGGGGTTGATGCTCTCATTTGCCAACATGTAACTCGAGAGGAAGGGCCTCCTCATCTGTGGTGGCTGGGTGGGCGGTGTCATTTCCAGGGCAGGCTGTGGTGTGGATGGGACAAGCTGATGACAGCCTTGGCCCTGGGGTCCTGGGCAAGACGGCCTGTCCCCACATCCCTGGGGGTGAGCCCCGGCCCCCACCCCCCCACCCCAGCACCACATGCAAGGCAGCCACCCCCAGGAAATGTCCAGAACAGGCTTCCTCCGAGCTTGGGTGAGGCTGCGTGGGTGGAGAAGGGGCAGACCTGGGCTGGGCAGGGCCGGCGTGGCATCGGGCAGACTGCACTTGCTGGGGGAGGCACTTGCTCGGTGGTCTGAAGCAGGTGACCGTGTCGACTTCTTTACCACGGAGACAGCTGGTTATTTGTGAGTCCACTGTAGTGTTCGAACTTCTTTTCGGTCTCTTCACTGAAGGACCCACCTGAGGACAGGGGATTAGGAAGAGAGTTTGTCCAGGCGGATGCTTAGCCCCTGCCAGGATAGAGTGACCCTTGTCAGCTCCAGGGCCCTCGTGAAGTCACCAGGGCAGCAGCTAGGGGCTGGTCATGTCTGGGGCTGGGCACAAGTCACGTTGCTCTGTTAATGCACAGTGAGGGAGAGATGGCATAGAATGCCTTTCTCTCGGCCAAGACTCAGGCCTGTCGCTTCAATGGCAGGAGAGAAATCCTGCCTCCCATTTTACTCCTCAGGTGGTAAATGCAAGAAGTCTCTGCTGGGCACCAGAACCAGCAGTGGCCCGTTAGCTTTTAGTTCCCGCACAGCCCACAAATTGCTGACGCCCACATTTTTGAGGTCACATGCACAATGAGGTGGTGGCCTCAGTTCCAGGTCTTAAATAACTCCGGGGTTTGTGCCCTGCCGGCTGGGTATGTGCCGCCCTCGCCCAGCTCCTTGGTGAGCTGGCTGCGAAAACCCAGCCTCCATCCAGGCCTGAGGTGTCCGCTTGTGAAAACGGGAGGCCGGCTGCACGCCTGCCCCTTCCAAGCTAGGAAGCTGCTCCGTTCTTCGAGAAAGTAGGGCAGCTCCTGTCTCCTGCAGGGTAGGCTGTGGGGAGCCCGGCAGGCTGGGGTGGCAGCGCGGGGGGGGCAGGGGGTGCTTGCCTCACCTATGTGGCAGTTGTACATCCAGATGCGGTGGCCGTCATAGCGGGTCCTGCACTTCATGATGTTGTTGGTGTAGTCGGACTCGGCGACCTCATAGTTGGGGTTAATGATAACCTGGGGGAGAAGTGAGCCCGAGGAGCTTGAGAGACCTATCTGGGGAGGGGGAGTGGGTGGGGGACAACCTGCCACCAGGGCCCCGAGACCAGCCCCACCTCCAGAGCCGGGTGTTCTTGTGCCAAGAGCTGCTGAGGGCACAACTGGCTAGAGACCAGCAAGGCACAGGGCCAAGGCCTACCCTGTGTTCTTCACATATACACCCTCTACCAAGAAGGCCCCCCAAAGGGGTATGTGTCCTGGTGTCCTGGGAGGCTTGAGGTTGATAGAGAAACAGGAGTTGGGGTCTGGGAGCCACAGAACAGGCTGCTGATGGGAGTTAGGAGGGGCTGGAGAGCAGAGCGTGTGAAGTGGGAGGAGATGGCGCTTGGTGTGTGAGTGGGAGGACGGCTCCCTGGGCCCTGGTGTTGCTCTCAGCCTCTTCAAGCCCTTCCTGCCTGGGCTCCACAGGAAACAGCCCCCACCCTGTGCACCCCTTTCTCTGTGTTGCCCCAGCTAAGAGGGTGTAGCCCGAAGGAGCAGGGATAAGAAGGGTCACCATGTGGGGAGGAATTCTGTGACAGAAAGGGAATATTGGGGGAGAGAAAAGGAAGGTGGGGGTGTGAAGAGAGGAAGTCACCCCCGGGGCAGAGGGCAGGAGTTCAAAGGGCATGTGTTATGGGCCTTTCAGGACCTGCTGCCTCTGGAGGGGCTTGGCCTGCGGCCAAGGGCTGCCCTAGAGAGTGGTGATGGGGCAGCTGGTCTGGGTCCTGCCCAACACCTGCCATTCTGGGCGGCCCACGTATGGCTCTGCTTGCCACACCTGCTCTGGCTGTGGCCCAGGAGTGCCTAGAGACACACTCGTGTTTCAAATAAGGAGCTCTCTGCCCTTGGGTCTCTTGGAACGTGTGGTCATGGTGTGTGGCTGCAAGAGTCTGTGGCTGTCTGAGTTCAGCCTCTGAAGTTGTACAGGGAAACTTTCAAAGCCCCACTGTGGCCAGCTGTCTGCAGGTGTTGGTTCCTCCCAGAGCTGTGTGTAGGGTGGGGACCATGTCCCCAGGTTGGCTAAATGCCCCCTTGGGAAAGCAGTCAGGGTGGAACGACACATAGCTGGTCACCCACGTTGCCACCCTAATGAGCAAGCTTAAAAGCAAGCTGGGTGGGGTGTGGGGAAAATGAGAAGGCAAAGAAGTCTCTGCAGCAGGAATACACCTGTGTACCAGAAGGAGCCTGGGGTTAGGGGCCTCCTGGTCTTTCCTACCAGTCAGCGCCCAGGTGGGAACACACAGCTGTGTGTAGGATGGTGGGAGGCCGAGGCCCCCTGTTCTGCCCAGGGCTGGTCTTCTACTTGGACAGGGTAAGCAGGGGCCCTGAGAGGTCCCCACAGACACAGGCACTCTTCCCTGAACCCTGACTTTCTACCACTATGATATTCATTATTCTGTCTTGAAGACTGTCCACTCTGCACATCTTTTATGAGGCAGGCTTCTGGGAGAGGGAAGTCACAAACATTTGCCAGTGAGTGGCTTTCTATGCAGCTGCTTTCAGCTTGACAGCACAGGTCAAGGCAGGGGGAGAGTGCTGGGATGCTAATGGGGAACGTTGCCTTGAGTCTGTGGGATATATTTCTGGCCTGGGCACCAGATCTGACCGCAGATGCATGGTGATTTGCAAGCACCAGGTATTAACTGAATGCAGTGTGCATGTCAGGAAGGCTGCAGTGGCCTCTCCTCCTGTCCGCAGGGCCTGGCATCCACTCCCCTCTGCTCACCTGGAACACGTAGTCTCCAGGCGGCACATCAGTGATGTCCACCCACTGGCAGTCGATGTCATGGCGATACACGTCCCAGCAGCCCATGGTGATGCCCTGCTCCCCGAAGTTGGCACACTCGTAACTCTTCTGGATGTCTGCAGACAGGCACAAGGGCAGCACAGGCTCCCAGCACCCAGGCCCTGCCCACAGTCCCTCGCTCTGCCCAAGCCATTCTCCCATGGGCCACAGGCACCCTGCTGGGTGGCTGACAGTCCCGCCCCAAGGGAGGGTCCCCGACCTCTGTGGCACCTGGGCTCAGCGCCGCATCCCCACTACAAGGGTTTCTGACCTGCTCTTAGTGAGTGAAGTCCCGCGTGGGCTTCCCCACACAACCCCTTTCTTCCCTTCAGCCCTGGGCAAGGCCCCTCCATGAGGCCTGATCGCGCTGGCCCTCTCTGACCTTCCCCAGAAGTCACCAGCCTGTGCACATAGCACAGATGTATCTGCAGAAGCTCTGGTATTTCCGCTTCAGCTTAATTGGGGGGCCATCTTGTGTCCTCTGGAGAATCAGCACTCCCAGTACACTTGGGTGAGAAGTCTCTGCCCTTTACTGGCTCACTGCTTGCCTGGCACAAAGTGGGTGCTCCAAACCCATTTGCGGTGTGGCTTGGTGGCGTGTCAGGGAAGGCCGTGTGACTAATTGACCACACATTTGTTGAGAGGTTGCCATGTCTGCGCTCTCCTCTAAACACTGGCTTTACCAAGAAGAATCCACGTGTCTCTCCTTAAAGGACCCAGTGACAGCTGGAGGCGTGCCAGGGGGATCACAGTGTAGGTGTCTACTCGCTATGGGCGGATCTTGGCCTCTGTTTGGGGGAGTCCAGAGGGCTTGGGAATCTCAGAGGGTGTCACTGGAGCCCGTGAAAGGAAGAGTCTGTGGGGCTGGGTACTTGCCACCCTCATGGCTGCCAAGTAGGAGGGACAGTGTGTCAGGCCCAAGCCTGACCCAGGCCCAGGCCTCTCCTGGGAGCCTGCAGACCCACAGTCAGCAGGACTGGGGGAACCCGGGTGCCTCTGTAGCCAGGCTTACCCACACGCCAGCCCCATGCTGTAGCTGTGGAAGGCCCTGGTAGAGAAAGGTCACGTGAAGGTCATCCAGGCCAGGTGACAGTCCAGCGTCAGACTTGGGAGCTGGGTCAGGGGCTCAACTATGGGCGCACTAGAGTCGGCCTGAGGTCACCCCTACCCCCCACCCCCACAAGGTACCTCCTTCACATTCTGTGTCCTCCAAGCAGAAGCTGGCTTTGTGGCCCTCTGCTACCTTGGTGCCATTGAGGCTCAGCAGGTCATAGTGGGTGAACACTTCCATGCTGTGGTAGTGCCTGGGAGCAGAGAAAGCACCTGAAGTCACGTTTCTGGAGCAACGGCCTCCTGCAAACAGCCGCCAGGCACTTTGCCTCTGGGCCTCCTTCAGCTGGGTGATGCAAAGGGGTGGCTGCCAGGGATAAGGGAAGAGAAGAGCAGGAGCAGCAACCAAACCACACGTGTGCTGTGAGTGAGGGTGTGAGGCCACACCCCCCTGGAGGCCTCAGCTCTCACCAGCTCAGGGAATAGTCACAGTGTCCCACAGGTGTCACAGGAATTGGTGGGATGAAGTAATGTGCATAGGACCTGGCGTGCAATAAGCTCAACCAAGGAAGATATTTTTAATAAGTGCTTTTTTTAAAACTGGGGTACAGATCAGGGTTGGGGGGTGGTGAGAGGATTCACCAGAGACAGAGGGGGGAACAGAATAGGCAGATTGATTCAAGTACACTGCTGAGGGGAGCAGCAGGCGGGACAGGAGATGCCTTGGCCTGTGGGTCAGCTCCCTGGCCTGCTGGGGGATCTTGCCTTTGCAGTGGCTGCAGATAGTTTCACAGTGTTGCACTGTAACCCCTTGCTTTCCCAGGGAGACCCCTAGTAAGTGCTTTTAACAGCTCTCCTGAGTGCTAGGGTTCTCCCTGCCCCTTCCTGTTTGGTACACTTTCCGCAGACTAATAAAACCAGTTTTTGAAACTTTATAAAGTGGGACTGTGGTAGGGGAGGGAAGAGAAGAGAAAGGGGCAGGAGTCTGGAGCAAGGGAGCAGCGGGAGTGCAGGGAGAATGGGGGGCTTGGGTCCCTTCAAATCAGGAGGGGACCTTCAGGCCCCATAAGCACTTGCAGCCTGGGGAGGGGGGGCCTCAGACCTTCAGCTGGAGCAGCAGGTTAAGCCATTAAACAAGGGGGGAAAGACAGCTCCAGAGGCACTGTGGAAGGTGGGGGGGGGTGAGTCATTCTCAGGAGGGGGCCTGGGGAGAAGGGTAGGCCTTCCCTGTGGGCTGAGGGGAGGAGGGCAGCTTGTGCAACCTGGCTGCCCAGCCAGCCTGGCTGTTTACAGGATCGGTGTCCGTCTCTTTACTAGCGTCTCTTTACTAGCGGGGAATTGAGAACAGATGCAGATTCTGGAAAGGGATGTGTTTGGTTCGGAACAATCAAAGGGAGACGTGGCTAATGTGTGTCACAGTGTCTGCAGTTGCTGTGACGATGCTGTTTGGGAAAGTGGGAAACCAGGTGCCATGAAAGGGAGTAGAGGGGAGCAGCTTTTGTAGACTGGAGTCCTTCAGGAAAGAGGGAATGAGCCACCACGCTGTGGGGGACACAAAGGATGGGGTGGAGACATGCCCCCCAGGGGGCGGCCAGGGCCAGCACTCACACACTGGCTTTCTGAGGACTCCTGGCAGTCTGTGTTGATATCCCCACTGCAGGCAGCTGCACTCCTGGTATTTCCAACTTCCTGCCTCCCTCCCCTCCGGCCTTGGCCTCAGGCTTTACTGGGTGAATGAGTTAAAATCAAGCTTTTTACGCCTCCCCACCACTAGTTTCTACCGTGGGCACCTGCGGTCTTGCAGGCCTCCCAGGTTGTGTGGATGCCCGGGGTTGAGGGACGTGGCTGTGGGATTATGGACACCTGGCCCCGGAGAGCACAGGGCTTGCGCATGTGCAAGGGTGGGCACTGTGCTGAGGGGCAGGCGCTCAAAGGGCAGCATCACTGTGCGCCAGGACGGAGGACACGAGAGAAAAGCTGGCAGTGAGCCGGCCTGTCCGCGTCAGCACTAAAAATCTACTGAAGCCTGTAAAAATCTACGGAAGGCTCTAGGCTTATCTTTCATCTGCGAGAACTGATGGCCCAATTGAAACCCTCAGTCTGAGGACAAGTGCACATTGCAGAGATGCCCACACCCCCCCCATCATTGGGACAGTGCTCATCCCCATTTCAGAGACTCCTAGGGGTGTTTCCCAGTGTGTGTGTGTGGGGGGGCGCGGGGGAGGGCGCTGTCTTTCCCATGTTCGGGCAGCAAAATCAGCTGTAACAAGGGCCGAAAACTGGCCCTCAGAGGCCCCACAACACCTGGGGTGTGGGTGACCCTCTCAGGCTGGGGTGGCTGCAGAACAGGCCCAGGCCCTCCCCTGGAACACGGGCAGTGAGGCAGAGTGAAGAGGGGAATTGAGCCGGTAGGCCTCCTAAGGGGAAGTCAGAGGCTCTTTCCCCTTCCTCCTGTGTTTGCTTGTTCTAAAAATAATGCCGGAAGTTCCTAAGTTGGGCTTCCCCCAGGTCACTCATGTTTCTGGGGAAAAGGACACTGAGCCAGGGCCACTGAGCGCTCACAAGGACGCACTCTGTGGCCGCTGAAGCGATGACTTTGAAGGAGTATTTTGGCCCCTCGAAGGGGCAGGATGAGACATGAGGTCTGACTCACTGCCTAAAACATGGCTGTGTCTTCAGAGCGGGGCTTATGTTACCATGTTTACCGGCTGGAAAGACTGAAGAGAAGTAGGTTTATGTCCTGCTGTCTAAATAATATTCAGACACAGCCCACAGACGGCCTGTTGTAAGGCTGACCTTTTCCCTCTCCTGCTGCTTCCTGCGGACTTGATCTAAGCCTCGTTTTTCCCCTGCAAACACAGGAGGGAGAGAGCTGGTCTGGAGCCTCCCTACTCTAGCTCGCTTGGGTCCCTCCTGGAGCCTCCTGGCTTTACTAATTCTTGGGCATCAGTGGCATCACCCTGGGGCCACTCGTCCCAGCAGGCTGACTTAGAGCCCAGGGGCACCTCCTTGACACCTGTACATGCTCTCAGAAATATGAAAATGACCTCGCCCTGGACAAAGGTCACTGAAACCAGGGATGACTGCAAAGGTGGGTGGGAGGTTGGCTATGTCCTTTGTTATTTTTAAGGCCCAATCGAAATCCTCAGTCTGAGAACAAGTGCACACTCCAGAGATGCCCACACCCCCACATGATCCTGGTGCCCCACACTGGACAGTCCAGGCCGCTTTCTGCTGAGGTTGGGACAGCACTCAGTCCCCATTTCAGAGACTACTGGGGATGTTCCCCAGTGTCGGAAGGGGCTACCCCACCCTTTCCTATGTTCAGGTTGCAAAATCAGCTGTAATCAGGGCCCAAAACTGGCCCATGAAGGCCCCACAATGCGTGGGGTGTGGGGGCTTTCCTCAAACATGGGGGCTGCACCGCACACAGGAGTCTCCCCAATGTAGCAGTGTGTCCTGACTGAGACACTGCACCTGTGCACCTGTGCCCACCTCCCTGCTCCCAGCGCCTCCCCCAAGCCCCGGGACTCAGCTGGGGCACACCAGGTGGGGCAGGGCTGCCCAGTGTCCGCCTGCACCAGGGCCCAGCCACACCAGCCCCCTGCGTGTGAGTGGCCCAAAGCGTGTGAGCGCGCGTGACGCTGATGCTGGGGCCTTTTCCTTGGCGTTGGGTTGGTGAGGAGCAGCCCCAAGGGAGTACATCTTTGTGTTTCACCTTAGGGCTTTTAAAATTCAGCTCTGTTCCTCATTGGAGCATCACAATAAATTGGGAATAGTCGTTTTTCCCTTTCACACTGATTTGGTCCATGATTCTCAACTTTGGCTCTGCACATAGACTTCAGAGTGTTATAAATCTGCTGAAATTGGAAATTAAATCTAGAAACCTTTTTTTTTAAATTGGAGGAAGGACTAGCTTTCATCAGATTCCCAAAGGATCCCTAAAGAGGTTTGGAGCCAGGGCCCTGTTGAAAGGCCTCGCACAGAACACTGGGGGCCGGGGGACCCCTTTTATGTTCCTTGGGCTCTATTGACCATGATGGGTGCTCAGTCACAGACCAGGCCTGCTTCACAGGCCTGAAGCATTACATGCTGAGCGTGTTCTTCTCTGCCCATCCTCCCTCACAGTGACTGGACCATCTGTAACTAAAGAAGTAAGAGGCCACAGGAAGAGCAGGGTGGGGTGGGGCCGCCGATCGGAGGAAACACTTCCCTGAGGTCACCCTGTGTTTTCCTAAACCGGCCATCCCTTTCAGAGCAAGCACATGTGATGTCTGGGCGCACCTTTATTCGGAGGGCAGAGATGCAATTATCTTCTACTTATAGCCTCGGAGGCAGCGTCAGCCGCCAGGCCAGGCCCCACCCCGTGGCCCCTCAGGAATTCAGGCCAGGATGCTCACGACTCCTGTCTTGCTCTTTCCTCCCACCCCCAAAACTCTGACTGATTAGGACTTTCAGAACATACAGACAGAACTGGTCGAGGAAAATCAGGGCCCTGAAATTCTATCACAGACCTTTTGAAATGGACTGAACACTCTATCCAAAACTGCTTTGACTGTGACCAGGTCATAAACTGATAGACGGAAGTGGCCAGAGGCAGGTTTCTGATGGACACAGTGGAAGTAACGGAGAGGGCACACACTTTGCAGTCCGCAGGGTCGAGGCCTGTGCCCACCCCACCTTCAGGTATCTTGGAGAAGTCACACTCCATTTGCCGTGAACGTGAGGCTCCCTGTGGCTGGCGCCGAGAAGTGGGCAGTGTTTGCTCCCTCCCACGCAGCAGGCCCTGGCTGCAGGACTGGGTGGCCTCTCAGCTCTCTGGGTGACCCTGTGTTTCTGAATCCCAGCTCAGCCCTGCAAGCAGTTGCCGGGGCACCTTGGTGGTGGTGAAGGAGAGGGCTTACCTGTGGCAGTCATGCCAGATCCACGCATGGCGACCGTTCTTGGGCCGGAAGTCCGACTGGCCGTTGTTGTGGATCTGGGAGGAGAACCGGAGGAGCCTGCGGTAGCCGGTGGTGGGGCTGGCTTGGGCGGCCGAGGCGGAGAGGCAGTTCTCCTCCATGGCACACTGGAGCATGAACATGGGCCGGTCCTCTAGGTAGGTGCTCTGCTGGACGATCTCTGCGTTGAGGACCAGGTCAGGAGCAGCTGGGAAGAGAGACGTGGTGTTGTGATAAGTATTTGCTTTTAATTCCTGAGCTGGGACAACCCCACCCCTGCCTAGCTCCACCTTCTAGAACAAGTTCCAAGGGTCTACCCTGCCTGGGGGAACAGTCCTCACCTTCCCCACCTTCCCCGAGGGTCTGACACCTCTGTAGTATCAGAGCAAATGGACAAATGTGGAATCAGGGGGAGGGCTATGGGAACCCTACTTTTAAGTGACTATAGAGATTTTATGTAATGAAAAGCAAACAACATAACACTGTGCTGCTCACAGAGAAAGAGAACTTTACCTTAGCCTGACTCTTCTGGGAATGATAAATATCTATGTTCCAACGTATGTCATACTGTATATAGATTCATGTTTTAAGTATGTAGTCTGCTAATTCTGCTTCCCTTAAATATATCTTGGCGTATTTCCTTGACAGTAAATATTCATTACAACATTCACTTCATGGATATGTAATATTTTTTAAAAAATCACCCTATCTCATATTTTTAGATTCATTGGTTGCTTGGAATTTTTCACAGTTAAGAATAAAGCTGTGATCAACATTCGTAGTAATTATGTGTATGTAACTATTTCTGCAGGATAAATTTCTAGAAGTGACATTGCTGGGAAGAGGGGTTGCCTTTTTTTGTTTGTTTGTTTGTTTGTTTTAAGATTTATTTATGCTTACAGAACTGGGGTATAGGTCTGGGTGAGAGGATTCACCAGGGACAGAGTGGGGAGCAGAACAGGCAGATAAGATGAAGTACACTGCTGAGGGGAGCAGCGGGCGGGTCAGGAGAGGTCTCAGTTCCCTGGCGGAGGAGAGCTCCACAGTGGCGGGCTTTAACCTGTTGTGCTACCAGGGAGAGCTGGGGGTGCCTGTTTCTAAGGTTCTGATACGTATTGCCAAATTACCTTCTTAAAAGGTTCTTTCAGTTTCAACCTATATGGTGCCTCTAAACACAAATCTTCCCCAGATGCATCTTTTGAAACCAGCTTGATTTACTCAATTAGTCCATGGCACATAATAGGTATTAAAAAGATGCTGCTGCACTCATAGCAGGAGTATAATGGACCAGGCGAGAAAATAATAAGAATAATGAACAGCCATATACCACAGACATTTTGTGGGGGTGGAGTGGGGGATGGGATCAAAAATAGGGGGGTGGCCCTCCCTGGTGGCGCAGCGGGTTAAAGCACTGCACTAAGAAGCCAAAGCCACTTCCTCATGAGTTCGATCCCCGCCTACCCCGGAGGTGACCACATGGCGTGGCAGACCTCTCCTGACCCGCCCGCTGCTCCCCTCAGCAGTGTACTTCGTTGATCTGCCTGTTCTGCTCCCCACTCTGTCTCTGGTGAAGCCTCTCACCGCCCCTGAGCCTCTGGCCTGTACCCCAGTTCTGTATGTACAAATAAATAAATCTTTAAAAAAAAAAATAGGGGAGGGAAGAGCATGGGACTATGGTGATGGCACACGGGTGACATGGTGATGGGAAGCCCGCGGGGATTACAATTGAGGTGAAAAAAAAAAATTTACAAAATGATGTAAAAATAAACTGTTATAAAATTTAAAAAAAGAGATGCTGCTGCAATCTCTGTTTACTAAACAAGTGTATCAGAAGATTTAGCTTCTTTACAAAAGGACTAACCATAAGTATTCTTTAAAAATGAAATTCGGGGCCCTCCCTGGTGGCGCAGCATGTTAAAGCACAACACTAAGAAGCTAAAGCCACTTCAGCATGAGTTTGATCCTTGCCTGCCCCGGAGGTGACCACATGGCGTGGCAGACCTCTCCTGACCCGCTCCCTGCTCCCCTTAGCAGTGTATTTTGTTGATCTGCCTGTTCTGCTCCCCACTCTGTCTCTGGTGCCCCTGCACGTCTGGCCTGTACCCCAGTTCTGTATGCATAAATAAATAAATTAAAATAAAATAAAATAAAAATAAAAATGAGATTTGGGGCATACACCAGAACACTTGAATTCACAAATATGTTGCATATGGCCCTGACTTCTTTACTGTGGCTTGTGGCACAGGGGGTTCTCAGTGCCACAGACAGCAGCAGGTAGCAGCAAGGCCACCCAAGGGGCTCAGTGTGGAATCCAAGGGCATGTGAAGGGGCATGTGATGGCGGTGGGGCTGGGAGTGGACATGGGGTGGCTCCCACTCTGAGAAGTAGCTCCTCTCCTAGCACAGGTCTGGACGCAACATTGCTGGCGTGTTCCGGGCGCCAGTTTCTGGAGGGTGTTGTGTGAGTCTCGTTGTTGGGCTGTCTGTACCCAATACACAGTCCCTCTGCTTAACTGAGCAAAAGGGGTCTGCAGGGGGCCTCTGCTTTCTGAAAGGTCAGTCTGCCCCTAGGTCTGGGGCCTTAAGGGAATGTGGTCAACACTCCTCCGGTGGCCTGGGAGCTGTGCTCCTGGAGGCCTGCATTCACCCCCCACTGGCTGAGTGTCACAGTGAATACTGCTCTGGGCTCTCTGGAAGCGCCCCAAGGCAGACTTTCTATTCCAGCTGAAGAGACAGAGACAAGCTCCATGAGTTACTTCATTTCAGTTGTAATTAAAAACCCCAAGGTTTTGTGCTCCCCCTTTTTCAGCTGGAGCTAGCTGAGGCAGAGTCACTGTCCAACTCATGTAGCTTGTTGCTGGTAGAGCGGGTGAGAATCCAGGTCTTCTCCCCCTGGCACTTGACCTTGGGAGGGGCAGCTGAGGCTGTGCATGGCAGGAACGGCCGGCGGTACCCGCAGCTCCTGCCGTCCACCTCCGGGCTCAGCCCAGTGATTGATGACTATTAATAAGAGCTTAAAGGAGCAACAAGGGGCACACAGTGTGAACCGTAAGGGGAAGGGACCAGCTTTGGGGGGTCATTTTAGTTGTTTCCTGAATGATGAGCAGAGATAGGAGGCAAAAATCTCCGGGGAGAGGGCAGTGTTATGTTGGGGTGCAGGTAGTTGCTCTCGCCTCCGCTTCTCTGGTCTCTGCTTTCAGGTTTTGCTCAGCTCATGGCAGAAGCCTGGGACCTTGAAGGGTGTGGCCAGTGAGGTGCAGGCCCTGAGCCGGCGGGAGGCCGGGAGACGAGCCCCAGAGACTCACTTTCTGAGCAGGCCACTCCAGCGCCGTACTGCACCCCGCCCTGGGGGCAGGCCACGTCCTCGTCACGCCGGCAGTGGGCCAGGGACAGCTCCGTGCCTGAGCACTTCACGCCGCTCATGACCACTTTGTTGGCGTAGATGTTTCCCTGCCAGTACCAGGTCTCCTGGACAAGCCAACACAAAGAAACAGCCGGTACATCACTTGAATTTTCGCTTTCTCGTATTTATCAACTTTAAACCAAAGGGAAAAAACCCCAAGGTTTTATGCTCCTCTTTTTTCAGCTGGAGCTAGCGAGGCAGAGTCGCCGTCCAGCTCATGCAGCTTGTTGCTGGTAGAGCGGGTGAGAATCCAGGTCTTCTCCCCCTGGCACTTGACCTTGGGAGGGGCAGCTGAGGCCGTGGTAAAGGGTGCATGGCAGTTCTTGCTGCCCACCTCCGGGCCCAGCCCAGTGATTGCACTTTTCCTCTAAGCCTGGATGTGAGCTTAGAATCCTCAACACGGTGCTCCACGAAGACACTGGCAAATGCCAGGAAAGCAAAAAATGTCTCCACCATCCTCCACCCTAATTGGTTCTGTTCTACCTCTCACCCTCCAGAGAGACAGGAGCCCAGAGAAGGGACTGGGGGGTGGAAGCAAGGGCAGGCTTGGAACTGACATCAGGTGCAGAGCTATGTCATGTCCCCAGCTGAGGCTGAGGTATTTTAGGAAAAAGCTGCAGGGAACAAAAACGGCTTAGCAGGTGTTCTGCTAAGGAGCACTGTTTCCCACTCCCCTCGGGAATCGGCGAGCAGGGTGCGATGCTCCCTGGCCTGGGAAGCTGAGCTCGCAGGGTCACGGGCAGCAGTGTCAGGCCCTCCTGGGTGCATGCTCAGGTCTCGGCACCTCCTCTAGAGCCACCTGTCAGGTGGGGACACGTGTGGCCCGGCTAGCAAGGTGTTCCTCATGGCTCCCTAAGAAGCCCCTCTCCCAAGCTGGGCCCTGGGGCCCTGGGGACAGCAGTGGGAGTTGGGATAGCAAAGTCAGGTGAGGGGCTCTGGCCACCCCTATTCTGTGAGAAGCTTAGAAAAGTGTTGAGCCTGGATGCTGAGGAATGGGACTGTGTGTTCCTGTTACAGGGAGGAGTCTGGAGGCTCAGAGAGTGCCTGCTGGTCATAGTTGGTGGGTGCAGTTGGGAACAGACCCCAAGCCTCCTCCATCCCATGTTTCACTCTGGGGGTGCACTGTTCCCTCAGGGTATAAGGTCCAAATGGCAATGATTTTTTTTTTTGCTGTTGTTCAGACCCACCTAGCCTCCACCGCATTGCTCTCCAAGGAAGGGCCACAGCTGATGTGACCAGGGCTGCAGACAAGACTTGGGGGTTCCCTGGCCCATCATCAGGAGCATGCATGAGCATGGCTGCTGGCTGGGAAATGTAGTCCATCCAAAGCAACTGGGGGGCCAGGCCTCGGACTGGGCAGGCTGCTTGGCCCTGGAGGACTGAGTCACTTCCCTCTAAAACAGGTGCATCAGGACACCCCAGGGTCAGTCTCCAGCCCAGGTGCACAGTGCTGAGGGGACCCTCATTCTGCAGTGGGGAAACTGCAGGTGGATGAGGGGGTCATGGCCTGCCTATGGGAGAAAAGAGAGGGGCAGAAGGGAGGCCAGGAGGAGGTTCCTGCGTCCTGGTCCTGGGCACTATGCTGTCTACCTCCGAGATGGCTGAAGGTCAGGGAAAATGGGGACCGAGTAAAGATGGATGGAACGTGGGGTCTGAGCCACTTCTTACCTGGAATGCATTGCTGGCGAACCCCAGGCCCAGCTGCCGGCAGACCACCATGGCCTCCACAATGCCCCAGTTCTCACCACACACTGTCCCCCATACGAGAGACCCGTTCCTCTCTGCCAGCACCTCCACCCTGCCCTCGTAGGGGTTCCGGCCCCCGTTCAGGCGCAGCTGTGAACAGAAAGGAAGGCATGGTCACAGGGAGGGTCGGAGGGGAGCTCCGCCTCGACTGGCATCAGCCCTGCGCCCCCCAAGCCCACCTGGCCAGCTGGGGACAGTCAGATCCACAGCGTGGCTGAGAGCTGCCTGTGCACCCACAGGTCTCACATACTGGTTTTCCTGGCATCCTGGGGCCTGGCCATGATGACCCTGCTGAGCCCTGAGCACAACCTGCCTCTGCTCCCTGCTCGCCATGAGCCTGTCACTGGGGAGTGCGGGGGGGGGGGGCAGCTCTTAGAATCAGACATTTGAGAAGATGCAGTCAAGGGACCCTACCATGTTAGAAGTCCCCAGGATTCCTTGCTGGGCCCTTTTTCTCCAGCCATACTCTCTGCTCCATGGGTTCTGGCTCCCAATCTTCCCACCCTTCCCCCTGCAGCCCCATACTGTCCTCTCCATCCAGAACTTTCCTCTGATGACTATGGGGCAGTTTCACTTGGCACTTTGAATCCTCATAACTGAACTTGACAAGTCTTCCATGAAACCCGGGCCCCACCACTCCCTTACGTCATTTTCATAAAGGTGCAAACATCTGCCCCGGGAGCAAGCAAACTTTTCATGAAGGGTGAGGTGGTAGCTATTTTGAGTTTTGTGGGCAGTATGGTCTCTGTTGTGAAAGCAACCACGGATAATGCATAAACGGTCAGGCACAGCTGTGCTCCAGTGACACTGTGCTGACAGAGGCAGGGCCAGGCTTTGGCCTGGAAGCTACAGTCTGCTGCACCCAAATCTATGCTGTTACACAAGCCGGAAATTAGGCCGCATGTGGTGTCCCCTTCTGGTCCCCACATCCTGTCAAACTGTCCCATGGATTTATCTGTCCAGTCTCTCCAGTTCTTTGGCTCTCCTCCAGCCCACCGCTCCCTGGATCTCTTCGGCACTGTCACCTCTGGTACAAACCAGGCCTCCTTACCTCTTGCTGCCCCCCTGGGGCTCACAGATCCATCTTTGAGAACACCCACTCATGTGCTTCTTCTCAGAGCCACTGTTCTGTCCTCAGCCTTATCATGTCTCGCTCAGCCATTATCTCTCTCTCTTTTTAAAATATGTATTTATTTATACACACAGAACTGGGGTACAGGCCAGAGGTGCAGGGGTGGTGAGAGGATTCATCAGAGACAGAATAGGGAGCAGAAGAGGCAGATGGATGAAGTACACTGCTGAGGGGAGCAGCGGGCGAGACAGAGGAGGTCTGCTGCGCCACGTGGGTCACCTCCCTGGCCGGGGATTGAACTTGTGTTGCAGTGACTGCAGAGAGCTTTGGAGAGCTTCATAGTGCTGCGTTTTAACCCGTTGTGCCACCAGGGCCTTCGCCATTACCTCTGAGCCAGGCATGGGAGCCTTCTTTCTCTTTCTGTGGTTTCCTAACTTTCTTGACTATGTCACACAGTAAGTCATGCCCGGGAGCCCGCCGTGTCCACAGATGCTGTCGTGCCTGGCTCTTGCTGCTCATCTTTCTCATCCCATCCCCAGAGACACTTCCCTCTGACTGGAACCAATGTCCACTTATACATCCTAGAGCTCCCTATTCATTTCCTTCTTAGCAGCTATGATGATTATAATTAAGCTGATTTACAATCTATTTAATGTCTGTCTTGATGAGCAGACAGGCCTGTGTTCTAAAGCAGATGGGTGTATCAGGGGTTGTGGGTGATGAATGTGGCTGCACATTGACTCTGGGGGAAGGAAAATGTGGTTGCCAGTGGTGAGCTGGGGCCTCCCCAAGTCTCCAGGCCGACCCCAGGTTCTTGCAGGAGTAGGCGTGGAGTAGCTTCTGTGGCAGGAGTAGGCACTTAAGTCCATGGTGGTGGTGGTGGTGGTGGGGAGGTGTTCTCATTTATAGAGAAGCCTGGAGGTCACAAGCAGCTGCCATGAAGTTCTAACATGGCCTTGGACTCTGCTTTCCACCGCCAGGCCCACTGGGGCCCCAGAATTCTGGAAATTCCGTGGTCCTCTGACATCAGCTCCAATGGAAGCTTTAGGCGGTCTTAACAGCCAGGAGCCTCTGGCCTGCACCCGCTGTACCTCATCACCGCATGAGGATGCCAGTGAATCCTGCTCAAGGTTTCTTAAAACAACCCAGACATTTCCCTTTTCCTATTGCTTTGGTTCTCAATGGCAGCAGTACAGGGTTTGAAAGAAGGGAGCGAAAAGTGTAGGAAGCTGAAATTTTCTGAGCACGCGCAGGGAAAACGAAACCCTCCTAGCCAGTGGCGTGTGGCGAGGCTGTCGGTGTTTTGATAAGGCTGTGGTTAGCCAGCCCCACACCTAATTTTGGAGTTGGGGATAGCAGTTGTGGTAACTCAATCCAGATGTTAATGTGAAGGAAGCATGGTGCTTTCCAGCTCACATTCCACACAGTGGCTTGGGCAAGCCAAGGCCAGCCCCACAGTTCAGAGGTGAGCTGGGGGTCAGCAAGAGGGCGGTTCCTTGGGTGGGCTCGTTCTGAGATACCCACCTGCCACTCCCACCTGCCTTCCCGGTTTGCCTCCTCTCTCCCCGCAGTGACAGAAACAGGGCTGCTCTGTGGCTGGGTGGACAAAACTATCCAGTTCCAAGTCTGTGACCTTTATTAGCCACTCAGTAGCAAAGACAATTTCCTAATAAAGCAGGCGTGAGTGGGAAGCTGGCAGTCATCTCTCTCACCTCATTTTCAGAGGAAAAAACGGACCTCTCCAAGCGATGAACTAAGGAATTAGTAAATGAGTAGTTGTCATGTGTCTCCTAAATTCCCATGCTGAAACCCTTCCCCACAATGTGACTGGATTGGAGATGGGGCCTTTCAAGATGTAATTAGGGGTGAATGAGGTCATATGGGAGGGGCCCTAATCTACACGCACTAATGTCCTTGCAGGAGAAGAAGAGACACTAGGCATGAGGGTGAACTGAATAAAGGTTGTGTCAGGGCAGAGCAAGAGGGCCGCCATCTTTGAGCCAAAGAGAAAGGCCTTGGGAGAAGAACTCTTCCAGCACTTGGATCTTAGACCTCCAGCTCCAGAATAAGAAAAAACATTTTTATTATTTATGCCACCCAACTGTGCTGCTTTGTTACAGCAGCCCCAGCAAGCTGAGACAGGGGTAAAACTTGGGTGTCTGGATGGGGCCGCCCAGGGACACCTATGGTCTACTTGGCGAGACCACTGAACAGCCCCAGGACATTTCTTGCACGGATGATGTTCCCATTTCCTGCGCAGGAGATGGAAACAGCAAACCCAGGGGAACACTCTAACTCGTGCTAATTACCCCCTGGAGCCTGGAATGTCTGCAGAGGGTGAGGGGCTGGGAATGTGGGGACGTCATGGCATGGGTGGCAACACAGCTTGGCTCTGCTCTGCCAACCACAAAACAGTTCTGGAAACTTCACTTTCCTTGGGTTAGGTTTGATTTGAAAACCTCACTCCACCCAACTCTAGTCTACCTGAAGCAGGTATGTGCAACTGCATACGGGACCTCTGACACATCAGCCCTGCAACTCTAGGCGCTGGGAGTTGGCCAGCAATCCCAGAGGGCGGGCCTTCCCCAAGGCTATGGGCTGCGGCCTCGCTCCTGCTCACCCACTGCAAGAGCACAGCGTGGATGAGGGCTGCTGCTCCCATCTTTGCCTGTTGGGCACTGAAGTGCATGAGATATTATGGTGGATCCTCTCAGCATGACAAGAAGAGGGGACCCTGCAGAGGCCTTTAGCATTAAGCAAGGCCAAAAATCACTGTCAGAGCAGAGACCTAACTTGGGAGCCACCCTGCACCCCCACGTGTCCCATTTGCTTATTTTTTAGATGTATTTATTTATGCATAGAAGAACTGGGGTACAGGCCAGAACTGCGGGGGGGGGTGGCGTGGGGGCTGTTAGAGGATTCACCAGTGACAGAGTGGGGAGCAGAGCAGGCAGACTGGCTGAACACACTGCTGAGGGGAGCGGTGGGCGGGTCAGGAGAGGTCTGCTGCGCCTTGTGGGTCACCTCCGGGCTGGGGATCGAACTTGTGCTGCTGTGGCTGTGGCTAGCTTCATAGTACTGTGCTTTAACTGCTTGCCACCAGGGAGGGCCCTCACATTTGCTCACTTTAATAAACAGTTCAGAGGCTCTCTGAACCTGCCAGCATGTACTGGCGCTGCAAGGTGCCTGACCACGCTGGCTGAATGGAGAGATGCATGGGCTCTGCTGGGCGCTGCTGGGGGACTGGACAGACCTCCCAGCGAGAGGAAGTCATCGCAGCGGCAAGGCTGTGTCCCCTAGCCTGGGGACACAGGCAGGTTTGGGAGAACCTGTCAGGAAGGGAGGTGGCTGCTCCTCTGACTGTCATGCTGCTAAATTACCTTTTTCGTTCCCTTTACCAAGTCACTGTCTTCCACCCCAAATACGGCTCTACTGAGCTTACATCTGCGTGGTCTGCAGAACTGCTGTGACTGTGGATCCTCTGGGTCCTTAGCATGGGCCTTTGCGTCACTGGTGCTGAGACCTTGAGTGCCTCTCAGAAAGGGCAGCTGAGGTCATATCCCAGTTTAGTCCAGGGCTGGAGCACACAGTGGATGACCAACATCTGCCGCTGAGGGCAGTGGTGCTTCCGAGTGTTGTCTCGTCATTTGTCCCAGGGACAGAAGCCAGTTAACAGTGACCCAGCAGGGTCTGCAGGATTTCAGAGCTCCCTAGGCAGGGCCTGAGCACTTTGGGGGCTCTCAAAGCAGGGCTGGGATGCTTTGGGGGCTCCCCCTTGCCACCTGTTGGAAACTGCAGCATGAAGCTACCTGGTTTGCAGTCTCTGGAGCAGCCTAACACAACACAGTGTCACGTGCGGGGTCCTCACCTTTCTCTGGAAGCCCATGATAGGGATGTTACACCTCACACCAGCATCTTCCTCGTGGTTACAGCCCTGAGACTCGGCATTGAATTTGCAGTCTATGAGGGACTTCTCATTTCCAGTGCATTCAATTTCGTTGAGGTGGATGGGTCCTATCCCTGGTGAAGGAAATGAACATATGAAGAACACTGTCAAGAATTAGCAAGGTCCCAGGTAGTAGGAACACACCTGTCCTGCCCTTGACACTCGCCTTGCTGCCTCCTTCCGAAGCTCAACAGCCCTCTTCTCCCCGGAGACAGCTAGGACTCACTTCTCCCGTAAGAGCAAAAACAATTTACCACTAGCTTTTTTTTGCATGACATGGGCCAACTCACTCAGCCTCGCTGAATGTTTGTTTTCTCATGCACTGAAGGAGTTGGGTTGGCAGACACCTCAGTTCCTTCCCACACTGAACATTCCCTGAGTCGGAGTCACTGCACAGTCGGGGACCCCACAGGAAACAGCTGACATAGCTAAACTGAATGATTTAATTTAGAATAGGGAGATTTTTTAAAATAAAGGTGTGGGCAGAGTGCAGGGAATCACAGAGTCACAGCGCACAGGACCTAGGAGCCGGGACACAGATCCACTCCCGCTGTGGGGGCAGGGAGGTGGCACCTGCTAAGAGCTGTTACCCCTGGGGATGTGGAGCCAGTGGCCCAGGGGCCCTGTAGGGAGAATAAATACCTGGCCCTTTCCTCGCTCCACCTCTGGTCTCAGCCAGGCTCTGCTGGCCACACCCAAGCATGCCGCTGGGCAGTGGGCAGTGGGCAAGGGTGGAGGGTGGCCCTGCGAGGCAGACGGAGGATCCAGGCATGATCTGAGGGACGCTTGCTGCCGGGGAGACCAGGGAGAGCGGCTGGCTGCAGGGGAGAGATGCACAGCCCGAGCAGCATTCAGCCCAGCTCACAAACCTCTCCTGTGTGTGGCTCATCAAGAGGACCAGTCTTGGCCACTGGGGCTCCGTCTGGGGCGTTGCCCACCCACAGGCTCCTCCCTCCCCTGTCCCTCACCAGCCTCCTCTCCTTCAGGTCCTGTCCCTCAGCTGGCAGACGCACTAGTCTCCTGTTGCCAGCCCTCACCCTCACGTTCCATCTTGCCTGTCACTCTTCAGGATGAACTTCCTGGAAGAGCGGGTGGGGTTTGTCCTCTCTACTCTGTAGCCACGGCAGGGCCTTCCGTGGGCCTATCTGCCATCCCTCCCCGCCTCAGAAAATGGCAGGTCCCTCTGCCATCCAGTGGCTCTTGCCAGAACCCAGAGGTCATCTCTGGAGCCACCCACCTCCTCCTTTCTGCTGATGTGCAGTTGGTCACCACACCCTGTCCTGCTCACTCTCCCATTCGGGGTGTTTGGTTTTCAGTTCCTGCACCACGTGCCACTAGTCAGCTCTGCTCTCTCTCTCAGTGGGGTGACAGCAACAGCCCCTCATCCCCCACCTGCTCGCCTCTTCCACAATACTCCCACATGGCCGCTCAAGGGGTTTTTAATGCACATTGAATCCTGTCATTCCTCATGTGAAAACCCTACAATGACGTCTCATTGTACTTAAGGGTAAAATCCAGCCTCCGGATAGCCTGCCAGGCCCTGGGCGATCTTTCCTCCTGGTCTGATCACCAGCTGCTGGCTCTCCTTCAGCCCCCAGTTCGGCTGCCGTGACCCTGGAGAAGCCCCCCAGTTTCCTTCTTAGTGGCCCCTTGTGCAGCCGCCATGTGCACCTGTGTCATGTGGCACCCAGGCGGCTCTGTTCAGTGTCTGTGGGGTTAGGCTGGAGGTCCCCGAGGGCAGGCATGTCTGTTCGCCTTTCATGTTCCCCCCTGGGGCCTAGTTATAAGTAGTAAGTGCATCTGATTGGATGTTATTGATGTCGGGGTGCTGGTTGTATGGCAGCCTTTGTGCTGGGTGTTGGAGTCTTCCAGATGAATTAGACACAGGTCCCGCTGAGAAGAGCCATGGTGTTTTTGGAGAAAAATCCCAAAACCATGACACTTCCCCAGAATCTTATGACATCATGTGGAAAGTGGGAAAGATGGAGTGGCTGTGACTTGGAGGACTCTGTTGGAGTTTCTGGAGACGTTTCTGGGTTCACAGAGGCCAAAACTCCACTTCCAACAGCAACCATTTGGGAGCTAAGAGCCAAGTTTCCGTTTCCTTGGAAGCTTCGTCATGTATGAATTTCCAATTCCTTGGGATTTTATAAAATTTTTAAAAACACATCAGTGACTAAGGTTGGAAGTGACCCCGGACTCAGAGTGGAAAAGCTATGAGAAAACAAGTCCTACGCAGAGTCGTCGAGGCAAGCAGGGACATGTCACGGGTTAAGACGGGCCCAGACAGGGCGTCCACCTTGGGGATGATCGTGAGGAGGAGGAGAAGGATGATGGTTGTGACGACGGTGATGGTGGTGGTGATATCTAATATGTATGGAGTCCTTACTGTGTGTTAGGTTTTGTCCCAAACACATTCTACTGACTCATTTAAACCGAGTCATCGGAGGATCAAAAATGATGCAGCTGGCGCAGTGGAGAATTCAGGATTCAAAGCAGGCAATCTGCACCCACATGGCCATGCTATTCCTGAATCTCATTCGGGCGCGTCTCAGAGAATCGCTAGTCTGGGTAGGAGCAGAACGTTGTGCTTGGATAGAGCTGGTGTTTGAGTCTCCCTGGGAAGTGCCGGGAACTTCCTGGGTTCTGTCTTCCTTATGTAGAAAAGGCAATGATATCTACCTTGCAGGTGGAATGATGAAGAATGAATGAGACGTTATATGTCAGGTTAGCGGGGGCTCGGAAAATGGCAGGTAGTATGGTGAGCATTGCTTCTTACATATCACCTCTATTTGTTCATGTAATTTATTTTTGACTGGGGTTATTTCTTCTATCCCACACTTGACTCAAGCTCCCAGATGATGAATAAACATCTGTGGAAAAGTCAAATCTCCACTCCAGGAGTCTATGCAAACAGTACTCCATGAATGTTTATGGATTTCTAGACTATGGGCTAGCAGGCGAGAGCTAAATCTAAGCGCTGCATGCTTTAAGACTCCACCTGATTGCTGGTTAGTCTCCTGCTGGTGGGCAGGATGTGGGCTTAAGTGACTCTCGGGCATCTGGGGGTGCGGGCCCCGAAGGCAGAGCAGGCACACTCAGGGCGCAGCGGGGCAGAACCAGTGCTGTCAGCCGCTCCCCTGACCACCCGGCTCTGTGTGAGTCACGCAGGCCGGGAGACGCGTTTAAGGGCACTGGCCTGGGTGTCCAGTGGTAGCACACCCAGTGGTGCCTGTGGGCTCCTGGCTCATTTTAGTGACCCCAGTTTTTTCTTATTCCTGAATTGTGGGCCATTTTCTGCATTGCCTACAGTGCCTTACCCATCGGCACTATGGCCTGACTCTTCTACTTTATACAAACCCGAGTCTGGGTGGCCACAGGCCTGGGGCAGGAGCAAGGGCCCTGGGGTAGAGCCATGCCCAGCCTTGGAGCAGTATTCTGAACTTTGGGTCCAGAGTTAATTCTGCAGAAGGAGCCTCAGAGATCAGGAATCCAGCCTCCTTGTTGAGAGTGAAGAATCTCAGGCCCAGAAGGTTGGTCAGGTCACTCAGCAAGTAAGTGGCAGGGTGAGCAGTAGGTCCCAGGAAGCTTCCCTGTCTGCCCTTGCCCTTCAGCCCCCTCACACAGGTGTGGTCACTTGATCGACTAGCTACAGCCAAGACTAAGGGGAGACCCTCTGCCGGGAGACCTGACATTGCATGTGGGAGCTGGCCCCACCCAGCCAGGTGGAGGTAACAAGATATCCAATGAGGCTTCAAGGCCAGCACTGAAAATGCCCGACGTCTCTTTCTCCTGGGGTTCTGCAGGCCAGTGTAAGTCTTTGGTTGCTCTGGGCAGTGAAATAATTAGGTCAAATAGCACACGCCCGTGACCAGTGGAAATTCTGTGTCATCCTGAGCTTATTTACTCCCTAGGATGGGGGCCTTTGCCTTGTAGGCCTTTGGAGAACACAGACCAACACTTCAGCCATACAGTAAAGTGGACTGGGGAGTATTTAAGATCCAAGGGGACCCCAAAGAGTTCACCATATCCAGAGGCCTTGTCATGTAGCCTAACTGAAGACTCGGGGTGGCACAATGCAAGATGAAGCCCACCCTAGACCCCCAGACTTCAGTGCAGACCCAGGGCCTCCTGGCAGACTGCAGTCAGCTCTCCATGAATGTGAACAGGGGTCAGACGGGGACAAGCAAATCTGAGAGATGGAGACATGGGTCCTGTCTTTCTCTGCCACTAATTATCCAGCTGACTTCACGTTCCTGGGTCTCACACCCCTCATCTTCCTGATATAGCCTGAGGTCCTCCCTCCAGGCCCAGCTGTGGTTCCAGGCCTCTCTCCATTCACTGGACCGTCGTTTCTGCCAGGGTCTGGCCAATGACCTGACAAAGTTTCCTTCTGCGGGTGATGACCTTAAGTCTGATGGTATGAAAACATCCTCTTCCCACAGGACACTGCACCCCTTACCCCACTCTGCAGCCCTCTCTGTTCCCTCCCCAACCCCTGCCAGCTGGTGCCCTCAGCTCACAGCAGTGACCCATGCTGCTGGTCAGCTCAGAAAGATCCCAGGAGATGCCTGTGCATTTCCTGTTCAAGCCAGAGTTCTCCAGGGAGGGCTGGGTACTCACTGGGCTGCAGGGTCTCCTTGGGGTGAAGAGCCCTCCTTTTGCAGGGTGGGGCTGGCACGGATGGGAGTTCTCCCGGGGCTGCTGGGGGCGGGGGGGGGGCATGGACGGATGCTGTCTGCTGTGTTAACCACTCAGCTCTCTGTGAGCGACCCTGAGTCTCCTATGCGTTTGTTCTTTATGCAGATGAAGGATTAGTTCAGCAAACTTAATTACAATCAGGCCCTTCTCCTTGGCATCCCATGGCATGTGGGGAGGGGCACCGTGTTCTCAGCCGAGACAGGATGTGTAGAGTGCTGCGCCACAGTGGAAAATGAGGACGTTTGGCGTCCTCGTGCCAGGAGTGGTCCACGACCCAGTGACTCCTGGGTCCTGGCCCACCAGCTGCCAACATGAGAGCCTCACCCAGACACCTACTCTGTTCCCTGGGCCTCGTTTCCAAATGCACAACACAGTTCCCTGAGGCCCTTCCAGCTCTGATGGTCTGGGGAGTGACTTCAAATTGCTGTCAGTGAGCAGCGGCTGCTCCGGGAGGAAGGGAAGCAAGAAGCGCCTGGAAAGCACCAACCAGCCTGTGGGCTCCCCAGGCCACACCCCCATGAACAAAGGCCACAGGACACCCCCACTTCTTACCTTGCCCCAGGCGGGAGCCAGTGATGGCCTCTTTGGCACTCCCGAAACCCAACTCTCTGCAGGCCACGCTGGCAGACACCAGGTCCCACTTGTCGTCACAGATGGTTCCCCATTCTCCGTTCTTGAGCACCTCCACACGGCCCTCCCCGAAGTTGGCACCACCTCTCAACCGCACCAGGGGTTGCTGGAGAGACACACGTTCCTGCTGAGTGCAGAAGCTGATGCATATTCAGCAGGCAGTCTGTGCCCACTCGCCCCCCCTTCCCAGCCACTCGCTCCCAGCCCAGGCATCCGGGCTGGGAGCCCACACGCTGCCAGACTCGTGGGTAATTGGGGGGTGTTCCTTCAGGAGGGTCCGCTCTGCTGCTAGCTCCCTTTGTAGTCCTCTTGTGGTGCTTTTGTCCTGGATGGCTGGGAAGCCCTCTGACGACCCTCACCAACCCGTGCTTGGCTCCAGAACTTTAGCACCGCGTCACTCCAGAACCCCAAGCTTTGGAGTGACAGAAAGAAACCCCCAAGTGACAGATTCCAGATCGGTCACAATTCTGCCGTCCTGTAGCCAGAGCACAGTCGGCGAGCCCTGTGGGAAACTCCACGGCACCAAACAGGTCGCGGTGTTTAGGATCCTCCTGTTCTGCAGGGAAAGGCAGGGGAAGACGGGCCTGGAGGCCAGAAGGCCAGGGCTTGGAGAACAGGTGCTGCAAGAGGATGTGGGGCGCCTCCCCCTGGCTGAGATCTGTATCTGTCCTGGAGCTGGCTCACCCTGATGCTCCTGAGGCTACCAAGGCCCAATCAACCTGAGTCTTCAAAAGGTGCCAGCCCGTGAGATATGCAGAGAGGATGTGCAGTTGCAGCTTAAATGCCCCTACTTTTTCACTGACAGCCCGACAGCCAGGAAGCCGTAATTACCTAATGGGTTTATTTAATTGCACAGAAGCAAGTCCCACTTTCCACCAGCCTGTGACCACACTCGCTTTTGTCTTACGAGGTGGGAGTTGGGTCACCTGACTCCATCTGCCCAGACCCATTTTGCAGCAGTTCTGTGTGTATGCATGTGCATGATACACATATGTGCTGGCATGCATGCAGGTATGCATAGATATAGGTGTGCACCTGTCTGTGTGTTTGTTGGGGTGGGGTGCCGAGAAGGCTGTAAGCTCTGGGTTGTCGCTGATACTCACAGGACTCCACATAGAGGTGCGCGTGACAGACCCACCACCTTACTGTTCCATGTGCATTGGCTCAGGCCAATGCACAGACCTTTCCCCTCCCCGCCAATGGTGGGACATGCGGACCTTGCGGGCGGTGGTGCTTTTCTGTTTTATGCGGACCACTTTGAGGGCCACGGCATCAGACAAGAATCCGTGTCTCCATCTCCAGCTGAGGGAGGTTCCTAGTCAAACACATTTCCTCCCCCACCAATTGGGCCTTGTGGCTGGTCTTGGCAGGGTGGGGTGCTGTGACCACATCCATTTTTATAGACCTCAGGGTCGGCCCAGACCCTGGCAGTAGGGGAAGAAGCCAGAGGGATGGAGGTGGGCGTGCAACACCCATCAGTTTCATGAAACTTTATTCTAGTTTTAGACAAGAAAACTACTGGTTCCAGACCCTGTTTGCTAGAGACCTCGCCCTCTCCCTGCCCTGACCTCCCCTTCCAAGCCATGTAGCTGGATGCCAGGCCCCCTCCCATGCAGAGACCATCTATGCCCAGAGCTTAATGTCGGCAGAGTTCCCAGTACCCCTGCTGCAGCCTGGCAGTGGCCGGGGAGCCTGAGCTGGCCTCAGAGGGAAGCATGAAACCAGGGAAAATGTGATGTAACGCTCTTTTGCTCTTTTTAAAAATTGGTTTGCTGTGAACTTGGTTCCTTTGCTTTAAGCCACAGAGTAAGAGGAATTCCAAAACAGTAGGAGCTGGTATTCGGGATGACACATGAGGAAAACTCAGAGGCTCAGACGGAGGCTGAAGAGAGGGTGTGGTCATCAGGTCTTGGGGCAGGGAGTGGGGTTCCTGCGGTGGGGGGTGGGGGGGACTGCCCCCGTCGCCCATGGGTTACGCAGGCAGGTCTGTGCACTGTGGAGGTCCCGTGGGGAGCACCAGGGAAGGGCTGGGTATCTGCCAGGGGTGCCAGGAAGGTGCTCCAGAAGTTCCCCTGGCCTCGGGTTGGCGGCTGGGCCGGCCTCATGCGTTCACGTCACTCTTTTTGTGTAGTTCTGTGAGGGGGACACCCAATGTGGGACAACCGGTTCTTGCCCCAGTTTTCTTTCTCCCTTCTTTCCTGAAGGGGGCCTTCAGGTGTTGATGGGGAGAGGAGATCGCAGAGGTCCAAGGGGAAGATGGTGGGAGCAGGAGAGGGAAAGGAAACCGAGGGCCTGCGACCCACCCTGGCCCTGGCTAACACACATCTGTCCCCATCAAGGCTTTCTCCCTCCTCTTACCTGACTCGGTCAGGCCTGAATTACAGTCCACCCTGGCTATATCTTACTCAGACCCATTCCCCAATAAATGATCCATTCTGTTTTTCTAGCTCACCCCGTCTTCTACCCATGTGCTAATGCCACCCACCAGCCCATGTTAGAAGTTTCCAGAATATCACAGAGACCTTTGGGTGGCTATATGAAAAAAGAAGGGCAGGAAAAGAAAACTAATCATCTCAGTGATTGTCTAGGGGAGGCAGGACAGTGCATGTCTCTTCTCAGAGGCTGCATCGAGTCTTGTGCTTAGTCAGATACAGCAGCCCTAAGACATCAGTCTGCTGAAGGTGTTAGTTTGTGGGAGCAAATGTAGATGGACATTTCCTGAATATGCTCACACACGCCTGCACACACAGGTGTGCACCCACGGCTGCTGGCTCACACACACACGCAGTGGTTCATGGGTACAGGTGGCTTAGCCTCGCAGAGGCAGGGTTTCATTTTCCGTCAGGTGAGAGCTTCTTAACCCATGTATCCTATCTGTTGCAGAACAAACCAGAACATGTTTGAAAACATCCTTAGCGGATTTCCTGTGATTTTAAGAGCCGTGTCGCCTGTCTGGCAGCTCTTAAACACGGCTCCCCTCTGCGAAAAGTGCAGGGGCGCAAGGTGTCCGCTACCCCCCCCACTGTCCCCAAGAGCAGGGTCAGCAGCTGGTGAGGGCACAAGAGCCGTGACAGGTCTGTGGGTGCCCTCCTCTCCCAGGTATCTGCCCTCAGCAGGTGGGGCTCAGGTGTCAGACTGGAATGGCAGTGGGAGGGAGATGAGAGGGATGCTCATGATTTTGGGGAGTGGCCCAGCTGCCACCTTGAGGTGGCTCTTTGGCGAGGCAAGTGCTCTGCAGCCATCCTGCCCTAAGCGGCCACTCTCCTCACTCTTCCCTGGGGTCCCTGCCATTGCCGTACTTGCCACCCCCGCCCCCTCCAGGAGCCGAGAGGCCCACTCTCACCTCAGGCTTATAGGCTTTCCGGAATCTTGAGGGTCCATCAGGGCTGAAGACCTGGCCAGGCACACAACTCACCACAGCCGGCAGCCCATTCTCACAGGTGACATTTTTCACTGGGTTCAGCGACACCTGAGGGCCCAGCTTGCAGCTGGAGATGTGGGCCTCCGTGCCCGAGCAGTTCATAGAGAACGGCCAGTAGCGCTGCTTCTTCCGGGCGGCAAACAACCTGCAGAGGTGGGAGGGGCGGTGAGCAGGGCATCGAGGCACCCACCCCTCGCCCTTCCAGCTAGCACCTGCCACCTGCCCTGGGCCTGGCACTGTGCCGGCTTCTGTGGATCTGGCATGACACTGGACAGACACGGTCCCTGCTCTGGAGCTCAGCCCTGCGCAGACTGGCAGGACCATGCAGGCACCTCTGTAGGCACCTCTGTAGGCTCTGAGTGCCTGGTACTCTGGGCTCCGTTGGGTAGGGTGTGAGCAGGATGTGAGGTGACACAGGCCTCCTGCCCTCAGGCAGTTTATACCTGAGGAAAGGGGTGAGTCACAGTCAGCATAGTGAGAATAGTAGTGAGAATACACAAGCCTATGAATACCAAAACAAAAAACAAATCTAAAGGAGTGAGGCCCTGGCCCCAGGAAACCCTCAGTCCCAGGTCAACCAGGTGGCAGTTCACCTGTCTTTCTAGAGCATCTCCACCGATGTGTTGTTTTTATTTCCCTTTATCGGTGAGCAGTGTGAGCTGCCTGTTAAACTTTCTCCCAGCGGTAGACAAGATTAAAGAGAGAAGCAAAAAGTATAGTATCTAATTACCCCCACTCACCGCATTTAAGTATAAGTTGCTTCTTAGTGGAAACTATACTGGTGACACTTGGCCACCAGCTGTATTTTCGTCCTGGGGTCAGTGAGGCTGAGGTGCTCTTCTGCCCGCATCCTGGGGCAGCTTCTAGCCTGTATTTCATGTAAATGTCCCCTTTTATTTTTTGAAAGTCAGAATATGGATCAATGCGCTTAACTTGTAAAGCACTTAATAGAGTACCCGACACACAGGAAGAGCTATCCACATTTTCATAATGTGAGCAAATCAAAACTGATTGGTTAAGGGGAAAGTGAGGAGGAGAAGAGAGGGGTGACTTAAAGAGAGTAGGGTTTGAAATGCATCCTAAATGGCGGTGTGTCCACAGAGGAGGTGTCTGGGGAGGACACCCACCTCTCAGGCTGTCCCAGCTCTTTGGGGTCAGGGTGCCCATCTTTTCTCGGCAGAACTCAGCGAGGTGCCCAGGAGAGCCAGCCAGCATCGCTGCCAGCTGCCCTGTGGCGGGGCCCCCTGAGGGTCAGAGTCCTGTCCCTGCTGGCCTAGTAGGCCTGGAGGTTTGCTTTGCCTCCATGTGAATGCAATTTGAATATCAAGTAAGGAAAAATCCTACAGTCACCAATATCTTTTCTTAAACAACAATTGACTCATAATTCAAGTCGGCATGATGACACAGAATCTTTGCAAAAGGGGCTATTCTGGAAAACGCAGGCTGTGTGCTCCCCAGAGCTGTAGCCCAGAGCAGAGAACTACGCAGCAGAGTTATTATTAAGTCCAAGAACCACTGCCTTTCCTCAGTTCCTTCCAGTCTCTGTACTTGGAATTTCAGCCCCTGGCTCATTCCCCGCGAACCCTGTCAGGCAGGAGAGCACTCTGGAAATCGGCTGCATAAGACTGGTCGGATCTCATGGGCCTGCCTTGGCGCAGGAAAATCCTGCTGTTTCCAACTTTCAGTGAACATCACCCTCTCCCAGGAACAGAGGTGCTGAGCTCTTAATATAGCACTGAGCACCCATGGCAAACACAGCTGCCCCAGGGCTAAGCTCCCGCCTCCCCAGGCAGCCCTCACATCAGCTCACAGGAATGTGCCCTGACCTTCCACAGGCCTCCCCGTGATTCACCCCAGAGAGTCCCCAAGGAGGCGGAAATATGAGGCTCTGGGATAGTGGGTGGGCAGCCCACTCCGGCCTGGTGATGGGAGGGCCGACTGGAATTAGGGGATGGCCTTTCTGGGGTGTCTGAGGAGTGTCTAACTCCAAGGCTGTGTAATAGGAAGAACCTCTAGCCGGAATGATTGTACTAAAAAGGAAGAGTCCTACTGGCTCTCCCTGCCAGGGAGGAAGCCAGATTGTGTAGGGTCCTTGCCAGCGGCTGAGAACGTCTATTCCAAATACACATTCTGGACCTAGGGAAGTAACCACAGGATGGAGTCAGGGACTCCCTGTGAGAGGGTCCTGAGCCAAAGTCCTAGAGCTCTGCTGACCCCGGAAGCCCCTATTCTGACTGCGGGCTCGGTGACGTTGGGTCTCCTATTGTCATCCAGTTCACAGCCAGGGCCCAGCAGTGTCCACAGTTCTGAGCAGTTCTTATCACTTCCTTTCTTTCCCCCAGTGGGTAATAGCTTGTAGGTCCTTTGGGGAATTCTGGGAGAAAGATTAGTGGGCTCATTTGTGGCAGTTTACCCAGTGCCTTCCTCCAGGAGACCCGGCCTCCCTTCATTTAAAGGGTCTGGGTCTGTGTCAGGCTTATGTCTGGGAATTGATTGACAGGCTGTGACTCTGCTTCATGATTCACAGTAGATCTTTGTTGTCTTATCCTAGACCTTTCCAGCTTCTACATGTCCAGTAAGAATGTAGTAAACTTCCTGTCTATTGAATTTCTTTTTTTTAAAAAACGGATCCACTTATGCATACAGAACTGAGGTACAGGCCAGAGGTGCAAGGGTGGTGAGAGGATTCACCAGAGACAGAGTGGGAGCGGAACAGGCAGATGGACGAAGTACACTGCTGAGGGGAGCAGCGGGCGTGTCAGGAGAGGTCTGCCGTGCCATATGGGTCACCTCCAGGGTGGGCAGGGATCGAACTCATGCTGAAGTGGCTTTAGCTCCCAGTGCTGTGCTTTAACCCGCTGCGCCACCAGGGAGGGCCCTATTATTCATTTTTAAAGACTTATTTATTGATGCATACAGAAATGGGGTACAGCCAGAGATGCAGGGGTGGCGCGAGGATTCACCAGAAACAGAGCGGGGAGTAGAACAGGCAGATGGATGAAGTACACTGCTGAGGGGAGCAGCGGGCAGGCCAGGAGAGGTCTGCCGCGCCATGTGGGTCACCTCCGGGGCGGGTATTGAACTTGTGCTGCAGTGGCTGCGGCTAGCTTTGTAGTGCTGCACTTTAACCCGTTGTGCCAGCAGGAAGGCCCCCCGACACCATCTATTTAATTTCTAGAAGCACCAGGATGAACTAGCCAATGCCACGGACTGTGCCCGTCCAGCCACCCTTTGCTGCTGTGACTCTGCTCTCCATCACGGTGACGCCCCTCCTTTGTCTTTGGCAGCTGAATGGTGACACTTGGATGCCACCACCCTCCCCTGCTGACTGTAGTCACCCCCCAACCCTCATGCAGAGAATAGCTATCACGGGCCTGAAGGACACCACACTCACAAAATGACTCCCCATATTATGCTAAGTCTTCTGGGCCCTCCCGGGCTGGCTGAGCAGGCCTTCAGGGACAAACAACTCTAACTTCCCATCCCCTCAGCCTTTGAATCCCTTCCTGTTGGTGAAGGCAGGGACGATTGGGCATTTCCTCTTCTTTGCTCCTGGTGACCACATCTTGGTCCATGTTTCAGCTAACCGGGCCTATTATTAAGAGTCCTTCCAACTCCCTGAGCTGCAACATCGGATGCAGAATCTCCGCTTAATGAACTTGCATCCATCAGTCACTATTAATGCTGGCCTCCTGCTTTACATTTAAAAACGATGACAGGGGCCCTCCCTGGTGGCGCAGCGGGTTAAAGCCTTGCACTAAGAAGCTAAAGCCACTTCTGCATGAGTTCCATCCCCGCCTTCCCCGAGGTGACCCACATGGCGTGGCAGACCTCTCCTGGCCCGCCCGCTGCTCCCCTCAGCCGTGTACTTCGTCAGTCGGCCCGTTCTGCTCCCCACTCTGCCTCTGGAGAATCCTCTCACTGCCCCTGCACCTCTGGCCTGTACCACAGTTCTGTGTGCATAAATAAATCTTTAAAAGACAAAATACAACAATGACGACAAGTAGTTCCTGGTCCAGCTCACTCCAGAGGGACAACACTTTGAAAATGTGTCCTTCCTAGAGTGACGGTCTCCCTGGAAGGCCGCTTCTCCTTTCTCAGGAGTCTGATGTCAGCAACAGCAGGGCAGTGGGGTGCATGAAAGACAAGTGGGGGATGGGAAAGATGCCGCAGCAGGCCTCGGGGATGTGAGGAGGCCCCTGCTCAGAGTGGGCTCTGGCACCCCTAAGTCTCACCCTCATGCAGAATTGGCTTTAGCTTCTTAGTGCTGGGCTTTAACCCGCTGCGCCACCAGGAAGGGCCCCTGTGGTGGCACCCAGTGGTCTCCGAGGCTGCCCCAGGGCTGAGCCCAGCGCTTGGCCATCCCTAAGCCTGCTGCCATCTCAGCCCTGTAGTTCCACCCAGACTCCAACTCCTCCCAGCACATCTCTCTTTTATCGTATCAGCTAAGGCCCTGGTATAGCAAATGTGAAATGTGAGAATCAAGTGAGACGGACCTTCCTGTCCCTCCACACCATCTCCAATGAGGAGCTGCTTTCCAGCGGCGTCTGCTCACCATCACTGAGCTCGCCAAGAACACCACCCACCACCACCTTGTATGCTTCCTGGCTTTTGAGGCCTTTTCCTGAGCCCATATGAAAAAAAAAAAAAAAAGCCACAGACTAGGGGTTGGGACAGTAGGGAGTAGGGTTGGAACCCAGCACCTGGAAGGATCACCTAGGCACAGCTGCCAAAACTGAGCTGAGATCCTCCTCAAAAGCAGAAGGACCCAGGGCCATCTGCAGTGTTGGAGATGACGAAACAAGCTTCCTGCTGCTTGGTGCCTGGCCCCGGCGGGGCTGCTGGCAGCTTTCCCGGTCTGAGCTCAGACATGTGGTCAGGCTGGGGACACAGGTGACACCAGCTAGATAAGAAACCTGTCAAGAGCGGTTTGCTTTTCTTGGCTCCCATCAGCAGGGAAGGGCCAGCCGGTGCCAAGCCTCCCAAGTCCTCAGGAGACAGATTTCAGTGCCAGCACGAGGAAGACCTGGTTCTGTCTGAGGGAAACTGGGGGTGAGAGCCATCACTCCCATCACCCCCAGGGGGGCTGTGAGCATGCCCAGCTGGGTGTCAACCCTCACCCCAGTGGTGGGCTGGGGGTGAGAACAAAGGCAGCTAGACCAAAGCCCTAGTGGGATGCAGCCTGCCCTGTACCCTGCATCTGGAGGAAGATCTGGGGCTGGACCCAGGTCTCCTGACTCGAAGTCCCCACTCTCCTTTCTCTGACTTGAAAGAGCTGTGTGTCTACACTCTCCAGGAGTGCAGGTCCTGTAGCCGGACACCTGGGTTTGAATCCCAGCTCTGGACTGGCAGCCCCTGGCACCTCACCTCTGCCATCACCCTTCTCAGGGCCTCCCTCCCTGGGGCTGTCTCCCACAGGAGCGTGAGTTCCTGAGAGGAACTCCCATCAGCAGGGGAAGCTGAGAAGGGGTGCCCAGGGAAGGGCCAGCTGGTGCGAAGCCTCCCAAGTACTCAGGAGACACTTGCTGGAGGGACCTGACGGGGCCCCCGACACTGGTGGTCCTCTCCTCTAGGACCCCCGCAGCATTTATGCTCTGACCTGGCCCCTCAAGCCCAGGATACTTGGCCTGTGTAGTTCTTACTTGTACACTTTGGTGTTGTAGGTCTTTTCCCCAGGGAAGCCAAACATGCCGCAGACCACGCGGGAATTCTTGGCCGTCCAGTGCTCGTCACAGATCTGCTTCCAGGCCTTGCCGTCCTTCACCTCCACGTAGCCCTCTGTCACCGGGGTGCGCTTGCGGAAGGTGGACAGGATGGCTCGGATCCGAATGTCCTCTACCTGGATGTTCAGGTTCTGGAAGGAGGAGGAAGTAGACGCAGTCACCTTCCTGGAGTGGCCGGGAAAGGCACCAAGTGACAGGCCGCGGGAGACCTCTCTGCTGGCCGCAGGCCCTGCGGGCCTGGTGCTCGTGAGCACACCCCATAGGCTGTGGTCGTAACTCACTATGTGTGGAGTCTAGTGTGGCTGCAGGAGGGGAGAAGGGCGACCTGGAGCAATGTGAGGAGGTTGGGGTTGAGGAATGAGAGGGCGACAGCTTCTCTGTGGCTCATCAACAAGGTCGCAGACCTCAGAACAAGAGCAGACGAGAGAAAGCATTCTTCAAATTTCTGTTTTATATTAATAATTTGGATTTTTGCATTTCACGCCAGGAAGTGTGTATGTGTTTATGCTTGTCTCTCTACTGATCTTCCGGTAAAAATGATGGTCAGGTTTGTGAGCCTCAAATCCCCTGAGACTGGGGCACCATCTTGCCTGTGACCTTGCATCTGAGTGGACCTTGCATTCCTCCATGAGAGATCCCAGGAGAGGACGTAGGGCGGGGAGAGAAGCGGGCAGGGAGCAGCGGTGTGTAGGGTCTCAGGAATGCCTAGCTAGGAAGGGCGTCCTGGGGACCAGGGTGGGGCAGGGGGCCACATGGCATGACCAGGAAGGGAATGGCCTGAGCCCCTTGGAAAGTTCCTTTACACCCCCACCCCACACATCTTTCTGTGACAGTGTAAAAGAGGCAAGAGCTTAGCAGGAGGAAGTGGGAGATGCTGGGATGGGGGTTCCTTTCTGCAGCTCTCCTCAGCCTGACATGGGCACACCCACCCCCAAGTCCCAGGGGTCTGGTAGAAGGCCAGGGTCTCCAGAGGTCAACCCTAAGGAGAGCAGTTCGGGCTTCCCCAGAGTTACAGTAATGTGCATGCTTTCCCCAGACTCAGCCCATCGGTGGAAGCTGCCTCCAGAACCTCTCCCTTCCAGCCCCTCCTCACTCTGCTCCTGCCTCTGCCCCGTAGGGCCACCACCAGCTCTGGAAAGGCCCCTGAGTCCTTACTGTACCTCCATCCCCATGCATCTGCCCCAGAGCTGGCCACCAGAGAAGTCTGTCCTTGGGCCGAGGGCTCTTTTCCTGTGTAGTGACACTCAATCCCTTAGCGAGGAGCCCACATCCCAGCATGACTGATTCCACATCCGCCTCCAGGCTCAAATCTACACCTGATATTTGAATTACAGGGCAGAACCCCACTAAGTACTTCCTGTGCATTCTCTCATCCAGTCCTCAAACAACAAGCAAGGTGCTGTCTAGCTATTCTTCTCCCCGTTGTACTGATGAGAAACTGGTCGAGCCATCTCGCGGGGCCACCTGGTAGCAGGAATGCCTGTGGGGCAGTGGGAGACCTCTGGGCTGGGCCAGGTGGGGCGTGGTGGGGCTGAGCAGAGGACTGGCAGGGAGACCCAGGCACCCAAGTGTCCCAGTCCAGTCAGGATGCAAATGGGCCCGGAGGTAGAACAGGACCATTATTTAGGTACCCAGGACGTTGTGTCTCACCACCACTGGCTTCCGGGTAGAAAGCCAGGTCCTGCTTCGCTGGCCCTGTGAGGCGGTGGAAAATATGTGGGCCAGGAATATTTGGCCCTGGTGCCTTTCCACGCCGAACGGAAGGAAAGTCGACAGTGGCAGGATTCTGTTTGCCAGCTTGGATCCTGGATCCCTTACAGCCTCCATTCAGGCCACAGGCCTTCTGCCACCAAGACGCGTGGACAAGGGTGAGTGCTGAAAGGGCTTGTAGGCCAGGGCTGTCCTCCCCTGCCCACCTCAGGAGGAAGGCTGGAATGCCAGGGTGTGGTGTGTAATGCCCAGAAGGAAAGTTACTGCTGTGGTGTCAGCCCTGTGGCAGCACTGTGCTGACTTCATGAAATTCACAGGCCCCTTCATTAAGTTCCTGACCCCCCACCCAGCCTGCCATGAGGCAGCCATGCCCCCTCCATGGGAGATGTGAACCCCAGTGCCCCCCTGAGCTGAGAGGAGGAAACTGACAGGTGAGGGGTTCCACAGGATAGACTTAGTGTGCTAGACATTTCCTCTGCAGAAGTGGGACTGGAGGGGAGAGCCCGCTGGGCCCCAGGAGGCGGAAGAAGGGGCTTCGAGAAGAGAAAGCACTAAGACCAGGTGTTATTTTCCTTGTTCTTCCACAAACCGCCTGTGGGTGCGTGTCTGTTTGACTGTGTTGTGTGTGTGTGTTTGTGTGTGTGTGAGTATGGAGAGGGTATCTCGTGGTCTCGGGCTGTGTCTCTGCGTCCGTATGTTTGACTCTGTGGGGATGTACGCCTGTGTGTGTCTGTGTGGTGATATGTGTATGGCAGGGCTGTGTCAGGCACTATGGGGCTCTCTGTACATGTGGAGTGTGTCTCTGCGCATCTGTGGGAGAAGGAGAGATTCAGGGGTGCCTGATTCCCTCCACAGGCCTTGGGAAGTGGTCAGGACAGGCATTGCGTTAGTTGTTCCTTCAAAATGGAATATCTTCTGTCCACTCTCCACAGAACCAACTCTTTCCCATTCCCATGCTCAGATTCACTTTACTCCTTCTCTTATCCATTCATCTATTCCACAAAGCTTGTTCTCTCCCCTCCATGGACCTGTCCTGTTCCCTCCCTAGGGCCTACCCATGAGGTCTTCCCTGATTGATTAGAAATCACAAGGGCCCTCATTACCAAACACCAATTCACACATGTCAGACTGTTCTCAGAACTTTGCATCCTTTCCCTCCCTCCATCCTCACCACAACCTGACACGGCTAGTGGTATCCCCACGCTACAGGTGAGAAATGAAAAGACTTGCTGAGGTTTTGCAACTTCCCAGGTTCACACTAAGTATGTAAACAAGTCCGGACTCCCAGCTCATGCTCCAGGCCCTGAGTGGTCCTCCCTCTCCCACCCACGCCACACCCATAGCCTGTACAGAGTTGACCACACTGGGCAGCCTTCTTGGGTGGTCCCTCCCAGGCCTGCCCACTCTGCTCACACTTGAAGCCCACGTTGGCTGCCCAGGAGCTGTGAGTCAGACCAGCGCATACGTGAGGGAAGAGCTGCCTTTGCCACCGCGGCTCCTGCACTGGGCCAGGGCTGCAGGGAAACCCTCGTGGTGCGCGTTCAGTGCTCACGGCTCGCGGCTGAGCTCATGGCTGCTCAGAGACATCTTTGTAGGAAAACACATGTATACCACATAACTGCCTCCTTACCTCACTGCTCTGGAATCCCTTCCATAACCACAAGCGCTAGTATTTTTTTTTTTTTTCCCAGAAGTTCAACCCAAAAGAGACGATTTGAAACACGAAAGCAGACACACATTTTTCCTTTTTAACAAGGAGCTCCCTAGACTGACTCGTTTTACATTAAGTCCGAAGCCTACAAGCTGGCGACGCATGTGGCATGTTTTAAATCCAAATCAAAGTCTGATGCTGACCCTCTTGCCGGAGACAACGGCTCACCCAGATCTCCATAGGCTGCCTCCCAAGGAAATCACAGAAACTTCTGGACTTGTCCTACTCGGGAATCGTCACATATTCAGGTCAGGGAGACTTGAGTCTCGGGGAGAGGTTACTGGCCCCTTTCTAAAGGAAAAATCAAGGTTCAGTGAGGCCAGGACCAGCCTCGATTCAGCCGGGGGGTTGGTGAGGAGTCTAGGGAGGAAGCACCACGCAGGGGCTGCTCGGGCTTGTGCCTAAATGACATTTCACATTTGCAGCATCTGTGAATGACTTGCAAATTCCAAGGTCTGGGGCTCTTGCCAATGAGGAAAAATCACCAGTGTGAAAGTCTAAGTGGAGATTGCATCAGGAAAGACACAGGGGCAACAGGCAAGCAAGGCGATAAGAAGGCACGTCACGATTTGCGGGGTGTGCAGCACCCCCCTTTACCTGGGTGCCTTTGCAAGGGCCAGACCTTAACCCAGTTACCCCCCCGCTCCATGCAAGAAGCAGTCCCTTCATTTCTGGGAGTCTCGTCCCAGGGGTCAACTCTGTCCAGTGGGCATGCCAGCATCCCAACCAAAATGCACACCGGGCACTTCATAGTCTCGCCCAACCTGTGCGCCCCTTCTGCTGCTGCTCACAGCTTCCTGTATCCTGCTCTCGCCACCACCCTTCAGCTTGCTTTATTCAGCTATTTAAAAAAAAAGGTTCATCCAGATAGAGAGCCGCTTTCCCACCTGCCATCCTGGCACCTTCCTTAGCTCCTCAAACCCAACACAGCCATGACGCCCCCAATCCTTCCTTTTGCTGAGTGAGGCTCCCTCCTCCCAACTCACAGACCTCAAGCCTCAAGGGTCTTCTTCCCTCTCTCTTCCTCACTCTTGGAGCCTGTGCTGTCCAGGGACACCTTTGTGCCCATCACATTCCTGTGCCAACTTCTGTTTTCTTTTTGTTGGGTGCAGGAGAGTTGTGGGGGCAAAAGAAGTCTTAGGACCTTCATGTCCTGGCACTCCTGAGCGTCCTCAGCCTGGATAGGCCTCTAATCCAGTGCATCTCACACCCCACAGCACTCCTCTCCACCCTGATCACAGGGTGGTACCCTCAAGGTCCCCAAAGTCTAGGCTTCTAGAGAAGAAACTTTGTGATCTGGCCAGCTATTAATTTCTTCCCTTCCCTGTTCTAGTCAGCGAGCTTCTCTCACCACACTACCCTGCAGTGCTCTTTCCTTCTCTCTATGTAGCAGAATCTTACTGACCCTCAAGGGCAATTTCATTCATTCCTTCAAAATGTATTCGTAGAGGGCACCAGTGTCATCGGCACCGCTGGTCCCTGGGACACACAGGTCAAGCACTTAGACACTCAAGACAGAAAAGGGAGAGGCTGCCTCTCCTCCTCCACAGCCCCCTCCTGAATTATCACAGCATAGAATAATTTGCTTTGGGGACCACTCATTTACCCTTTGGTTTCTACTGACTCTGGTACCGCGATTTACCTTTCCATGTGTTTTTGCTCCTCATTGCACGAAGCATTCCTAAGGGTAGGACTGTGTCTTTTATGACC